AATATATATAAAACAATACAAATTCTCACGACGTTTCGACCATAACACAAACGGTCGTCATCACGTTCGTGTTATGGTCGGAACGTCGTGAGAATTTTTATTGTTTTATATATATTTTATTATTTTATTGTTTCCCTTCAACGTGACTTTACCGAAAGAGCTAAGAATATGAATTACTGCAGTCACGAAAGCTTTAAATCAAAAGCTACACCACTGTTTAGGGTGCACCGGCCGCTTGGTTAACAGAGCCGGACGTTCTGACCAAAGCAAGGAGGCCCGTGATCATCATCGGTGTACATACGCTTCCCTCCCCCTCGATGGGCTTGTACCCACTTAAGCGTGGGGACACTGCTGACCGATGGTGACCACGATCTCCTGTCTGCAGTTGAAGCAACTCAATCATTGAATATAATTCTGCTACATCCACAACACGTGGTCACGAGCGCACTGGAATGAATCGACAGCATCCGTATTGTAATAAACGTAAAGGTACCAAATTTCCCGGGAGGCTCAACCAGGACACACGGGGAGCTGGTAGCCCCTCCCTCTGTCATACCCCCCCCCCGCTACTTTTACATGGCGACGCCCACTTAACTATTAACTATTCGCATCACAGGCCTCACCCACTTCTCAGGAGGCTCCACCCTTTACCATCAACATCAGGTGAGCGAGGGGCCAGAATGTTTGAAACTAGGGCAACATCCAAACTTTGTCAATGCTTTAGGATAACGTGACGGACTTTTTGAAACCACTGGGACTTTTTGGTTTGGTAGCTCTACGCACACGTGTGATACATTGTGACGTATTGTGTGTAAAACATCGACATGAATCTATGAATCATTTCAACTCTATCCAGTGCACAACACACACCGTACGCTGATCACAATTCGGCGAAGAATACAAAAACATATTATTGGTTCTTTCGGTAAAGTCACGTTGAAGGGAAACAATAAAATAATAAAATATATATAAAACAATACAATTCTCACGACGTTTCGACTGCAACACAAGCAGTCATCATCAGGTGTGAAAACCAACGGCAAGAACATTTGAAAGAAGTGGCGGTTTGTGTTTATTTATTTTTAAACGTTAGCACCACGGAGAGCGATTTGACAGTTTGTTCAGATGGACGAGTCCATCTATGTTCAGAAAAGAGGAGGGGGGAGACGAAAAATTAATGTATGCTGTCTGAAAGCCACCGTAAGCGTGAACAATCAATTAAGACCCGAAATGGTTTATCAAATCCTTCCAATGATTGCTAAGCCAGAATCCATCTTCTCGGTTGAAATTGTCTGTGTTTGTATATGTGGATAGCCTCATGAACGAATCTCGTGAGAATTTTATTGTTTTATATCTATTTTATTATTTTATTGTTTCCCTTCAACGTGACTTTACTGAAAGAACCAAGAATATGAATTACTGCAGTCACAAAAGCTTTAAATCTAAATTTAATACAAGAACAGTCAAGGTGTTAGAGGTGCCATGCGATGACCCACGATGACCATTGCTTTCACGGAATGCCAAAAAACTGTGTTCAAGTGGACGGGACAAACAATGACATGGATTCGTGTAAACTTCACACAAATGGAACGACAGTTTTTTTTCATTTCACCACACAGACATCCCTGTTGGCCGTTAACGGTAAGGCAATTTTAAGAACTGTTGCCGGCAAGCGTCAATGGCAAGATACGTGGCAACGTTTCCTGCATAAATATGGACAGGTCTGATCACTGTTACCGCCGAGTGGGCAACTGGGATGGCAACCTTCAATCAGATTGCAGGCAGAGGCAGTGCCGGATTATAGTAGTAGCAAAAGTAGCAAATGCTACGGGCCCTGCACTTTCAAGGGCCCTGCGCTAAATGCTTTCAAGCTATCAATTCCGGTTCAGTGATTCTGCACTTGCTCTATTACTATACTGTCTTTAACGTTTATGAACGACTGGGTGTTTAAGGTTAGCGAGTTGTTGTGTTATCTGGTAGTATAGCAAATAAAAAGATACAATTACTTTACTGTGCAAGTAAAAAAATGTGTGTTTTAATATTTGTGTGCTTTATTTATTTATTACGGGCCCCTTCATAACATATGCTAGAGGCCCCGCACAAGCTTGATCCGGCACTGGGCAGAGGTCACATTTAAAATGACTACCTGAGGTTATGTGCTGTGAAGACCAATCGTTGTTCGTCATACATGCGTCTCAACAAAATTTGGACAACTATTGTTGCCCTACGCTACCGTCCTATTGAGTTGCTAGCCAATCATGGTCACTGCGTTGCCGTTGGCGATTGTAGCGACAGTTGCCCTAAAGTTTCCCCAGTGTAACACGGCTATAATACACGCGATTCCTGGCTTCTTTTGGCAACGTTGCGTACAAACGGGGATGAAGAAACACAAACACACACTTTGAACATTTCACACCGATCGCTGCATCGTATCGCAAAATCCGCAACAGTAATACCGCACTATTGTAGAGTGTCCTACGGTAGAGCGTGGTGCTGCACGGTAGTACACTACGATCAATGTTGGCACAGGAGTATTATATTGTTCACTGTACTTCAAAATTGAAGCAACTTTTGGAAATGTTGTGTGCGGTTAAAAATGTCCCAATTCGTTTTAAAGAAGTCTTGCAAACGACGGAAGGAATTAAAGTGGCGTGCGACATGCCCTCGTTTTCACCTTTGCGTCCTGATTCGGTCTGCCCGTGTCACGTGTTGCTCATTTGATCCTTACAAAATGGCCGAGGCAATTAAATATTGTATTCCTGGGATACGGTGCGTCGCGCAAAAAATTGAAAAATGCACGAATTTGCCTACGTTGTACAAACATAAGAGTACACGTAAACACTCTGCAGTATGTGCATCGCTCTACACGTGTGCACACTTAAGGGGGGGAGGGGGAAGCGCACAGTCGAGCGCTGCATAATGTTTTATAGAGATATGCACAGTCGTGTAATCGCATGCAGATTGCTGTGTGTATTTGCATAGCCCGATGGCATTCCCGAACGGAAAGACCCAACTCAAAGACACAGTCAGCTCTTTTCTTGTATCTACACACCTAAGCTCTAGAGCAGGGGTGGGGAATCTTTTTTTTCTGCCAAGGGCCATTTGGATATTTATATAACATCATTCGCGGGCCATACAAAATTATCAACTTAAAAATTAGCCCCGTTATATTTGGTCAAACATTTAATGAACTCGCCCCTAATGCGATGGGCTGGAACTGCTTCTCTTTGGTGAGGCGTGGTGATGATGTTAGCTGGCTATTGACCATGTTGCTACTCGCAACTGCTTTTCCAGGTTGGCTCCTACATTTATTAAATTTCGAGTCCCGCCTGCGGTTGCCTTGGCAGGGCCAGAGACCAAATTACTTCGCGGGCCTTATACGGCCCGCGGGCCGGACGTTCCCCACCCCTGCTCTAGAGCTACACACCCAGATAAACATGCAAGGCTGGGCCGAAGTGGGTTGACACGTGGTTGGAACCACCGATAGACCAATGCTGACCCAACGTTAAACGTTTGCTGGGTAGGCTCTGATTAATGAAGCTTAAAACTTGCCAATGACGGTAAGCGCATCCTTGCTCCCACAATCCCGCTCTCCCTGTTTATTTTCGCGTCCCTTCCCATCTCTCCTCCTCCTTCACAACCCTGCACAGTGGCACGTACCTACAAGTTAAAGAGCTGCTCGGCTTTTTTGTTTGGGCTGCGCCTTCCGCATTAAAGCGTTTGGGCAGAAACGTCCCTTCCCCCCCCCGCCGCACCCTCCGATTAGCACGGTTGGCTACGTACGGTGCGAAAGAAGTTCAATGTACATACATAAGTACATACAAACGTAACGAAGGAGACGCAGCATGCTCCGACACTCCGACCGGACAGTCTGCTGCACCGCACAGCAGGCATAGCGGCCACAGTGCCACTTGGTCAATAGGTTTGACTCTGATGGTCTTAGCCTCGTCACCAGTGACTGCATAAAAAAAAAACTCCCATCATACTAAATGAGATATTTTTCCACGTAACCTGGCAAAAATTCCCACTGAGAATTTTAAATATCCGCTTTAGCGCCATTCGTGGATGAAGATCGGGCCTTAGGGAGAGTGCTGTGTGGTTAAGAGGTCACTTGAAGATATCTCACCGAACTAGTTCTTTGATATCTCCTTCTGCGGTGCCGTTCTCTATTGTTGAGATCCGAAAAGGACACAGTGGCAGGACGCACTCTCGTTGCATGACGGTCAATCTGACATTTTCATGGGCAAAGCGTCAATTTAGCCAAATGAGGTGCAGAGCTAAAACATTTTTTATCTGATGGGGTGGGTTTTTTTTACGTGCGGTCATTTGTGACTTGGCTGAGACCCAACATTCCAAAAAAGTTCGAGAACAATTACCCTAAGCAGAAACTAAAACGCACAGTTACTTGACAAAGATCCCCCGTGTGGCCCACACACACTGTTAGCAAAGTGCTGTTAGCGAGCACCGAGATGGCACACGAGGGGGTGGTGTGGCCACGCCCGGCCGCCTTTGTCTCCCCACAGTGCTGATGCTCACACACCACACCGGGTACTCACTTAAGGCTGAGTCGACCTAGGGGAGGCCCAGGACCTGTTCAGATATTCGCCACTGTTTTTGGTCGTGGGTTCGGGAATCGAACTCGAGTCGCCGGGTTCGCACCGCTCCCCACGGTCACTTGACAGGCATGGACACACCACGCACACCAGGCCAAGCTCCAGCTCCTCTCAGACGTGGGGCAGGGGGGCACCATCACACCGGTTCACGCCACTAAGAAGGAGCGACAGTGAACTTGAGTCGGGCCAACGGGACATTTTGGTGGCACAGGTCCCAGCCCAGCACCTCGCTAGCGCAGGCAACTTATATACACACACACATGCAGAACGACAGACACGCACATGTGTACCACACATGCATGCACGCACGACGACACAAGCACGCACGCACGCGCACGCGGCTGTGACGACGACGACGACGACACCACCTGTAGGTTGGCCGCTCACTTTGCGAGGCTGAGATTCCCCGAAGCCAAATGTGTTTGCAGGGTCCTCCACGCCAGCCCGGGCCGCGCCGTGCTTCGCCCATCGCTGCACACGCTGCTCGGCATCGACCCGCTTCGGATGGGCTCGCTGACGGGCCGCGGGCCCCGGGCCCCACCGCCTGGCCGGCTGTGCGACACGACTGTGCCACTGAGAGCGCGTCGGTGACACAATGGCGAAGTGCACACACACGACAAACAACGACGACAGACGACGAAGACGACGACAGCGACAACGACGATGAAGGATGGAGGACAGGAGAGAGAGAGAGAGAGAGGGAGTAGTTCAAAGCAGTGATCATCGAAGGGAATACGGGCGCGAAACATCTGAACAAACAAGATTTTAACCGATCCACACACCAGGGTTGCCACCTCCGTGGTAAAACGGGGGGGGGGGGGGGGAAACTGGATTATATATCACGGGAAGAAGACTGATTTCTAACAATTCTGAAAGGTGAGAAAACTTCACGTGAATTAATTGTCCGGAGTGGTACATTTACGCAACTGACAAAAAACTGGGACTTTTAAACATTTAATGTTTCTGGAAATTTCCCAGCAAAAGCTACCTTCAAGAAAACACGCAGAGGCCGTTCTTGGGAAAAACAGGGCAGAGGTGGCAACCCTTTTAGGTGACGTGGGCCCTGCATTTTATTGGCCACCTAAAATGTCACTTGCAAGCGTACGGTATTTTCATCTTCACCATGAGGCCCCGTTATCTATTACAGTGTGTCCTTGAAATAACGTGAACAGCAGACGAGGAAGTGTCCCACGTACAGAAACAGACAATCCCGATACGACTTTCATACCTGTCAACCCATACAGTTTAACCCATAGTCTTGTACAGGGGAAATAGAGTTTTCAGGTCCATAAACAAATTGTGTTTCTCCCTTGTGATGAGACTTTGTAGGATGAACGTTGAGATTTATAAGGGCACGGGGTGACCAATGAGGTCTGAATTGGTCTGTATTAAGGTAGGCACTCATAAGGGGTTGACAGGTATGGACTCTGCTGTTGCTAACCCGCATCTCCACGCTGCGCAGAAATGTTTCGTGCCAGTGCAGTCCCAGTGAGGTTCAGTATCAATTGTTTTGAGCGCTCAACATTTGAAGATGTATTAAAACGCAAGTAGTATATAATGTTAATTTATAACGTTACACATAGGAAGAACAGCAAAAAACTACACAAACTCTCTCCTGAAGCCCTCTTGCGGCTAACGGACCTCGACAATGGCATCTAACTCCTGAACCATATTGCCATATGCAAGAACAGAACAGGAGGTACAATACTATAAATTGATGACGATATGATCTACATCTTCTAAGAACCGAGTTCTTATGTGGCACAATGGAAATGGGCATATCTCACCCACCCCCCCCCCCCCCCGATTATTTCTTGAAGTAGCAACATTCGCTTTAGGTTTCAACAACGACGCCGTGTTTGTACCCACACGTGGTCAATATTGATTGATGCCAGTAGGTGGCTGGGTGGGGCTTTCGAGCAGTAAGCCTGGCATGGGCAGCGGCCACGTGGCTGACGGATCCCTGGCGCAGGCCTGCTCACTGTGACGTACACGGTGACGTACACTGTGACGTGTGTACATCACCGCGGTTTGCAGAAGTCCAAATCACGCGCGTTGTCATCCATCTTGGGGCCCCTCGTCTCTTCGTTTCGAACGTGCAACGCTTGTGACATTGTTTTTGCCAATATTCAGTTAGTTGATTCCTTAATGTTTCACACAATTGCGTTTTAATATACGACACGAATCGCTGAGCACTCAAAAAATAAATGACATTACGAGCTGTAAACGAGTTGAATAAAGTGTTCTTGGCATTAACAGGGATTTTGTTGAGCAACAGGATATAGTTCTGGCGAGGCGCCCCTCTCCCTGAATTGGACCCGGTATTTCGAGGACACAGTGTACCTGTTCGGCATCCAGCATTGGAGTCATTTGTAAAGATGACGACGATAATCGGCGGTGAAAGCAGGCAGTGTGTAAGAAACAGATAAAGCAGTTGACGTGTAATTGACTCCAATGAATAATTGTGAGCTGATTGCATTAGGGGGAGAGTGACCAAAATGTACCCTTGTAGTGGAATGGGTTTTAAATGAAGACTTATTAGTTTGAGATCGAAGCCGATGGGCGAGCAATTAGATTTTAAAACAAAAGTATCGATCCTTCTCCACATTTTAAACCATTGGCTCCCAAAGACTCATCTCGGGGGGGGGGGGGGACCCTTTTTTGCATTACACCGGCGAACGTTTGCGACGTCTTAACGTTGCGCTTAGTGCACCACGGTCGGCGACACGTGATGATGCATTCCAATCCGATTCTTCGAGTCGGACACTTGAGTGAACTGGTAGGCATAGACGCCAACGTTGGATAAATCTCACCAATAACAACGGTTTTTTTGCTCAAAAGCAGGGATATTGTATTTTCTGCACTCGGCAAACTTAATGACTGCAGAATTAGCAACATGACTACTCCTAGGAACCTACGCACTTCGAAGTGTTTCAGTACTTAAGCATTGTATTAGTGTTGTCTATACTTGTATACAGTGTGGGAAAGAAAGTATTTGATCCCCTGCTGATTTTGTACGTTTGCCCACTGACAAAGAAATTATCAGTCTATAATTTTAATGGTAGGTTTATTTGACCAGTGAGAGACAGAATAACAACAAAAAAATCCAGAAAAACGCATGTCAAAAATGTTATAAATTGATTTGCATTTTAATGAGGGAAATAAGTATTTGACCCCTCTGCAAAACATGACTTAGTACTTGGTGGCAAAACCCTTGTTGGCAATCACAGAGGTCAGACGTTTCTTGTAGTTGGCCACCAGGTTTGCACACATCTCAGGAGGGATTTTGTCCCACTCCTCTTTGCAGATCTTCTCCAAGTCATTAAGGTTTCGAGGCTGACGTTTGGCAACTCGAACCTTTATGTATGTAAACGTGTACACATTTGTCGGTAGATACAAGGGTGTGGAATTGCTTGGGCAGGTTTAATTGTCCGGAATTAATAATTGAGCCTGTTCGGTCAAAACACCGTGAAGAGGGGGGAGGGGGGCTAGCACGCGAGAGTGTGGCTAATAGCTCGATCAATGTCACTTCATTTGAAATCCAATTGCTACAGCAATAATTCGGTGAAATCAAGCGGGCGTACGCTGCAAGCGAGCATCGACTTGCCACTCGCGATGGGCAAACGGCAAAAAATTACCAAGACCGTGCAGCATTGCATGCGTTGGTTGATCTTTCCCGTTTTCTGGAGTCGAAGTTTTGACTTCTGAACCACGGCAAGCCACCGCGGGATTGGGAGCTTCGGCAGCTATTGGCAACGGATCACTGCGTGGCTGCCTCTCCCTGCTTGTCTGCGGTTGCTCGCACCCCCCCCCCCGGGGTCGTGCCCTGGTTTGCAAATTTGTAAACCGGCATACCTGCCCGGTGGTCATTGGAATGCAGCATTGAAAGCTTCACTTTCTGCAATTGTAAGCGGATGTTTGGTCGGACGGTGTGTGCGGGTAGCTGGGGAGACTTGCGATTGAACGTTTGCTAGATCAAATCCAATTGTGCTCGGCGGTCGACTCGGCCCATCATCTTTCCGCGTTCGATAAACATTCGTCCCAATTTTCGAGAGGTCAATGGTAGTCATCCTATGAGTGGACCGGCCCCCTGCCAGGGGGGATGCCTAATTTACACCACTGGCTCATGGGACAGTTGACAAACTTCGAGTCCTCAGGAGCTGAGCAGTGAACTCAATGCCCGAATCCAGAAGCGACAAAAGCTGGACTCAATCCACTTTTATTTTCCTTGAATGTGGCCGGGTGAACAGAAACTTGTGATTTCGGGTCCCTATCCATTGGCCAGGAAATGGCTTTCCGTTAATGTGCGGTGGATCGCTTGAATGTTCAAGAATTCACAGCGGCTCACTACTACTGTGTGGCCTCACGCAGTGAGCGCGAGTCTCGCACAAGAGACCCGATTGACTCGCATCGACTTCTAGCCTCGCAGTCTGCGAGACTCACACAGAGACCCGAGGACTCGCGTGGAGTTCACGGCGGTTCGCTGCGATCGACGACGATGTGGTCGCTGCCGTTGCCGCAGGCCGCGATGCCTCTGGGATTTCCTTCAATACCTTGGTACGCGGCGTGCACGTGAATCATCTGCGCTCCCCCCCCCCCCCCCCCCCCGGGGATGCGTGCGCGCGAGCGAACGCTGGTAACGCGGCGGCGCGCAAATTGTGTGAAACCCTTCCAGAGGAAAGAGGTGTGAAAGTTTCCCGCTGGTTTCTTCCCTCATTTACGACTGCCAAACACTGCAAGAGCCGGCCGCAGGGAGAATTGGCGGTGGAGTTTCACACCTCGCCGAATCGCCAGTAGACTCGTTATTCTCTCCACGTCATCGAAGGATCATCCGCGGAAGCGGGGGGGGGGGGGGGGGGGGTCCGGACCACAGAAGTAGTCCGAGGTCACAGCTAAGCGGCAACACGAGGTTTCTTGCGCCCGGGTGGATTCTTTCCATTTTATACGGTGGGAGGAGGGGGGGGGGGAGAAGGGCCAAAAACATCGTCGAGAGTTTCGAGAGGCGTGCACCGAGGATGACGGTCATGCCGCTGACATGGGCGCATACGTTTTTTGTCGAGAGACGTCATCGCCATCGCGTTGACTGATTGAAGAGAAGCAAAGCGACGCTCGGGCAGGACGCGTCACGGCCGGAAGGCACGACGGCGGCGGCTGCTGGTCGAGGATTCACGACGGGAGTGGCAGCCAAGGGGAGGGAATGCGCCCCCAAAAGGCACGTCTGCCGCGGAAATGGAGCGGTGGAATTCGGGTCGTGCGCAGGTGCCGAGATGGCTCGTCATCGCAGGATGCGGAGAGATAGTAGGCCTTCATCCAGAAGTTGATAGATGAATCAAAGTTGCAGCCGCTGATGATGATGGATGGATGATAAAAGCATGATAAGCAGGTCTGAGCCTGGCTCGTGGGTCTGTCACGATTGACGCCCTCCATCTACCTTGTCACGATTCGATGATTTCATCGCGATTCGTGGTCGCGATTTCATTCCAGGGTCTTGCGCAGTTGCCGCTGCGGTGGCTCCTCTGGAGTGGCCGCAGGGTCACCAGTGGCCCCTCTGGAGAGGTCACAGGGCGCTATCC